CCCCGCGACACCGCTGGCCTGGGCCGAGGGCTCGGGTCCGAGCCAGGCCGCCGCTGGCTCCCACGCTGCCCGCTGCCCCCGCTGGCCGAGCAGCACACTTTGGTGCCTTGGGTCCGGCACCTGAAGAAGCCCATCTCCTCGGTGCAGCTGCGGGGACGGTGAGTTCAGGGAGTCGAGTAGGGGCTCCAGGCTGGAGGCAGGAAGGGCTCCCTCCCTCTACTAGAGAGCCACGTGGGCCACTCCAAAGCTGCTCTCGAGGCACTTCGGCAGGATGGCTTGGGCATGGGGACCTGACCAAGCATGCTCCACTTGTGGGGTAAGATGGCAGGAAGTGAGGAAGAAACCCAGAGTATTTATTATTTATTTATTTTTTTGAGACAGGGTTGCTCTGTGTAGCTTTGCTCCTTTCCTGGAACTCTGTGGACCAGGCTGGCCTCGAACTCACAGAGATCCGCCTGGCTCTGCCTCCCGAGTGCTGGGATTAAAGGCGTGCGCCACCACCGCTCGGCTCCGAGTATTCTTAATACTGGACACACCCTTACAGGCTTGCCCTCCACTTCTTCCAGAGCTTAAACCTAAGGTTGGGAGCAGAGATGTGTTCCCTTTCTTGACTTCCGTGTGTCCCCCTTTCTCCCGCATAGTCTCAACTAAATGGACCAGAACTCCCGACGTTGCCAGTCCTGTCTTGTATAATTTCCGATGTGCTCATATTTGTGGGTATATTTTTTATTTTCACTAGAATCTGAAGATACTAGGAAATGATTGTGCTGGGCAGGTAGACTGTTTTATGTACTGGTCATCCACACTGGTTGTCCAGCCTTTTTGAAACCATAGGGACAAATGCAAACAGCTTTGCAAACAAATGGTCTTCGGCCACTGTACTCGGAGAAGCAAAGAACCCCAGGTCTTGATTATATGCACGTGTGCATGTGTAGTCCCTGTTATCAACTGTTAGAATAACGTGCTGTTGGGTTCTTCTACTTTAGCCCCACATTGGAACACCAACATGTTGCTGGTTGTTTTTGCCCTTTGGTGGGGCCTACCACCCAGCTCCCAATAAATCACACACGGAGACTTATTCTTAATTATAAATGTCTGCCCTTAGTTTGGTTTAGTTTCTAGCCAGCTTTTCTTTAATTATCCCACCAAACTTTTGCCTCTGGGCTTTTACCTTTCTCTTACTTCTGTAAATCTTACTTTTCACTCTTACTCCATGGCTGACTGGGTGGCTGGCCCCTTGCATCCTCCTTTTTCTTTACCTCCTTTTTTTCTCTTTCCAGATTTCTCCTCATATTTATTCTCTCTGCCTGCCAGCCCTGATTGTCCTTTCTCCTGCCTTGCTATTGGCCATTCAGTTCTTTATTAGACCATCCAGTGTTTTAGGCAGGCAAATTAACACAGCTTCACCGAGTTAAACAAATGCAACATAAAAAAAGGCAATACATCTTTGCATCATTAAAGCAAATGTTCCACAGCACAAACAAAAGTAACACCTTAAAATAATATTCTACAACAAGAATGTTTCATAAGACTTTTGTTGTTGCCTTTTTAAAAAGTTATCTGTGGTTTTGAAATTACATTATGGCATATTAGGACTTCTCGTTGACTCAGCAGAGATATGTGAGCATGACCCAAAGATTTCCTTATTTGCTACCACTTCCTTTACTTTTTTAATACATTTAGTGTTCTTCTGTCTTCCACCGTTTTAACTTTGGTTTTGGCCACGGATGGTAGAACCTATACAATCCCAGTTGACAATGGTTCCCATTTTTCCCTTTGGCAAATAACACAACTGTGGTCGTATTGTGTTCCTCGAAACGCTGTACACCCTAATAAACTTATTTGAGGTCTGAGAACAGAACAGCCATAAACATTAAACATAGAGGTTAGGCAGTGGTAGCACAGGCCTTTAATCCTAGCATTCCAGAGGCAGAGATCCATCTGGATCTCTGGGAGTTCAAGGCCACACTGGAAACAGCCAGGCATGGTGACTCACGCCTTTAATCCCAGGAAGTGATGGCAGAAAGGTATTTAAGGTGTGAGGACCAGGAACTAGAGCTGGTTAAGCTTTTAGGCTTTTGAGCAGCACAGTTCAGCTGAGATTCATTCTGGATGAGGACTCAGAGGCTTCCAGTCTGAGGAAACAGGATCAGTTGAGGAATTGGCAAGGTGAGGTTAGCTGTGGCTTGTTATGCTTCTCTGATCTTCCAGCATTCACCCCAATACCTGGCTCCAGGTTTGTTTCTATTAATAAGACCTTTTAAGATTTGTGCTACAGCGGGCTGGAGAGATGGCTCAGAGGTTAAGAGCACTGACTGCTCTTCCAGAGTTCAATTCCCAGTAACCACATGGTGGCTCACAACCATCTGTAATGAGATCTGGTGCCATATTCTGACCTGTAGTCATACATACTGTATACGAAATAAATAAATACATCTTTAAAAAAAAAAAAAGATTCCTGCTACACACAACAGTGAACAGTCTTCCACTGGTTGGGTGGGGACTGGGAAACGGCTCAGCAAGTGAGGGCATTTGATGTCCAAACTCACACAGAGGAAAGAGAGGACAACCCCACAGGGCCGTCCTCTGGCCCCCACAGGCATGCTGTGGCGTGTGTGACCTCCCCGCTCCCCTCCACATACGTGGTGGGGGGAGGGAGTAAAAAACAGAACTACTGAGTCAGATGTACGTACATGAAAATTTTTGACAGAATTTTGCTTTTAAAAAGGTTGTATTGGTTTGCATTTTCTTGTGTGTGTGTGTGTGACAGTATCATGTCATCCAGGCTAGCCTTGAACTCACTATGTAGCTTGAGCTGGTCCTCTTCCTATTACCTCCCAATTATAACTGTACCATCATGCAGAGCTTGGTTTACCTTTGTATCAGCAGGCTGTGGTGAGGGAAAAAATATTTATTATTATTTAAAAATAACTAAAATCATAGTTTCTGTTCGCAGAGTGCTTAATACATGTTACTGCCTGATGCTCAAAGGTGTTTTAGAAATTCAGTCTTTGTCCACTTATGAGAGGCAGGGGCATGACCCTGTGAGTATGTAACTATCAGAAGACAAAGTGGAGACTAAAATCCAGGTTCCCTTTACTCTAACGCTGGGTTTTGTAGGCTTCAAAGCCTTGTTCCAGTGACTCACGCAGCAAGCCCAGCTTTTGGTTTGATTCAGTCAGTGTCTCCTGAGCCTGAGGCAGAAGGCAGAGAGCTGAAGACGGGCATAGGCCCATCCCTAAGATGGGATCTTCTGCAGCAGCTTCTTCCTCAGGCCTAAACCTCAGACCTATTTGGTCCCATCAAGTGGAGCCTTAAAACCTAGGCCTGATATGGGGGGGGGGCATACCAGGGCAATTGGGTAGTTGGAGGCGTACGTATTATGTCTTTCTCCATGCTAACTCCTGTCCACTCAGATATAGCCCCTTGCCTCCATGATGCTCTGGGTTGTCTGTCTCTCTAGTCACTCCTCCTCCTGAACCTTGTCTGTGTCTTTGTACCCCACATATATCTTAAAAACTATTCTGACTTTCTTCTCTCTCTCAAATCTCCTTTGCCAACTTTAGTAAAACCTTACTTCTCATCTGTAAATAGTTTTTAACCTTTTGTCTCCAAACCAGTTACCCCCAGTTTCTGCTGCGTGGTTCCGGGTTGTGTATGTCCGCTGGATACCCTTCTGTACTTGTGTTCTGTAAAACAGCGTTTCTCATCACCTGTCAACCTCCACTCCAGCTCAGTCTCTTATTGGACTTATTGGACTCTGTATTGGTCAGGTTCTCCTGCCCATTTAACAGCCACAGTCACCTTTAACTCCCTCTTCCGGGTCAGAATGTCAGTATTCGGTCCATTGTCAATTACATTCTCATTGGACTGTTTTAGTAGCTTCCTAGCAGGGTAGCAATGCACACCTGTAATCCCAGGACTGGAGAGGCTGGGTAGGAGGTGTGTGAGCTTTTCTGTAATCCTGGGCAACATAGTAAGACAGATCTTGTATAAAGAAAAAAGAAGGAAGAAAGAAAGAGAGAGAGAGAGAGAGGGAG